TTATGAACATTTACCATAAAAAAAATTTCGTGTTTGAATTTCTTCCCTTCTTGACTGGCCAGCATTCTACTTTGGTCAAATCTACAAAAGTACCCTTCTATCACTACTTCCTGTCACCGTCCCTCTCTCTGTAACAACCTCTCTCCACCAACAGCTTCGCGAGAATCCTTATCTAGGTGCGCTGACCTTTCAAAAACAATAGCAAACGTAATAGGGAGTCGTTTTAAAGTTTTCTTTTTTCTGTGCGTTTCGTAAAACATGGCTTTGAGTTCAAGACATTGCGAAAATTTCCCAGATGACTTTTGTTATACATACGGCAAATATAGTGTTGTTAAAAATTGCATGAGAGGCATTACAAACCATGTAAGACATTTTTATCTCGCATATTTTGGCATGAAGCTCGGAGACCAGGACAAATATTGGGCACCTCATAAAGTTTGTGTGCTGTGTCTCAATGATCTACGCTTATAACATCAAGGAAAGAAGACTGCTTTACGATTTGGAATTCCTATGAAGTGGAGAGAGAGCCCCAAAACCACTTTGATGATTGTTATTTTTGTTCCCGCCATGTTCGTGCATATAACCAGAAAAATCAAAGACTAATATCTTATCCTCCATCCATCATTCCATCCAGCATTCCATCGGCCATACGTCCGTTCCTCATGGAACTGATGTGCCTGTGCCTTTGCCTCCAACTGAATTCTGAATCCAATCATATCTTCAGAGTCTTCAGACTCGGAACATCCAGAAGTTCAAGGCTCCGATATGGAACGAAAACCATCTCTAGCCGGTTTACCTCAGCCCTCCTCTCAAGTTGAGCTTAATTATCTGACCAGAGATCTTGGACTTTCGTAAGAGGCAGCTGATTTGTTAGGCTCCCGACTGAAAGAAAAAAACTTATTGACCAAAGGAGCATCTTTTTATTGGTACAGGAATCGTGAAAAGGAATTTGCTAAGTGCTTTGATGAAGAGGAGAACTTGGTCTATTGTTCTGATGTTCCTGGATTGATGAGCAAATTTAATATCATCTACAATAAAGATGAGTGGAGGCTGTTTATAGATTCATCTAAAGGAAGTCTCAAAGCTGTTCTTCTTCATCATAGGAGCCAGTATGCATCAGTACCAGTTGGACACCCAGTATATTTAAAAGAATGCTACGAAAACCTGGCTCTCGTCCTGAACAAAATAATATATATCGACCACAGTTGGACCATTTGTGGTGACTTGAAAGTTATCTCCACGCTTTTTGGTCAACAAGGGGATTTATAAAGTACCCATGTTTCATTTGTGAGTGGTACAGCCGTGACAAGACTCAACATGGGGTCAAAAAAGAATGGCTGAAAAGACAAAATCACCATGAATGTTAATCGAAACAGCTTAGTTGATCCGAAAAAAGTTTTTTACCTGCGCTACATATAAAATTAGGTCTAATGAAGCAGTTTGTCAAGGCTGTTCCAAAAGATGACAATTGTTTCAAATACCTGGGCAAAAAGTTTCCCGGTTTATCCCAAGCTAAGTTGAAAGAAGGAATATTTGTTGGTCCAGATATCTGCAAACTCATGAAGGATAAAGAGTTTAAGACTAACATGACAGAAACGGAAAAAGGAGCTTGGGTTGCTCTCAAAGATGTCATCAGTAAATTTCTGGGTAATTACAAGGATCCTGATTATAAGGAAATTGTAATGAAAATGCTGGACAAATTTAAAACGTTGGGTTGCTCCATGAATGTAAGAATACATTTCCTTCACTCACATGTGGACTTTTCCCCTGAAAATTTAGGAGCAATCAACGAAGAACAAGAGGAAAGGTTCCATCAAGATATCAGAGATATGAAGCGTAAATATCAAGGAAGATGGGACACGAACATGTTCGTTGACTACTGTTGGATGAAAGCTCGGGATAAAGCTGAGATTAAGCATAAAAGAAGATCATCAAAAATGAGTTTCAGAGGAAAACGAGTATATACTTAAATAGAAACTTTTCTCTTTTGTTTTGTTTCTTTTGTTTTTTGTTTCAAACTTTCATATACACATACACAATATTTATTATTCTTGGTTAATCGTCAATTTCACGTAAGTTATCTCAATAAAAACAAATTAAAATAGTATGTTGGTGATTTTCTTCTAGAAACTGATGTAAAAAGTTTGAACATAAGGAACTTATTGTCTTTCTCTCGACCAGAGGTGACTTCTGCGGTCTGGTAACAGTTTTTTTATTCATTTTAACCTATAAAAAATTAGCTGATAGCTCAAAAATCAATTTTATTTCACAAGATTAAATTTTACATAGATCAAAATGAATGAAGAAAAAAGTTATCGGAAAGTACATGTAAAATTGTTTGTGAGAATTCCTTTCCAAATAGGATTTTAGTAATAACATTAATATCGATTTTATAAAAAATCCTGATGTGATTGGGAAAAATGAAGGTCATTTTCGAAACCCGTACATCAAATAACATATAAATCAACAATAACTTCTCTTGTATTTTTCAAAAAGTTCAATTTCGCAGGCTTGTGTAATTAATACGTCATTGAACGGAACGTCATTGAAAATTAAGAAAAGCCTATTTTTTGGAGGTTAAAAGTTTACTGATATTTTTGTTGCTGAATCAAAAGAATACAATTTCTAGTTATTGGCAGTTTTGGGTAGTTGCATATTGGGGCTATTCTACTAGAAAATTGCGAAAACAACCCTTAAATTTCAAATAAAACCTTCTTTCTCGATGAATTCATTAAATCGGGGTCCAACTTCATCAACATTTCCTTTATTTCTTATATTCTATCGACTTTTTATTTTCTTTTATAATACATTGAATTTTCGACAGAATGTGATTGTGGAAATAATTCAAAAAGCTGCCAGCTGATATTTATTGATAAATTATGCTTTTGTTATCCTGGATATATGTACAACGCTGACAGGAATGAATGCGTAAGCGAAAGTAAGTATGAACACAATGTTAAGGATAAAGTAATTTTTTATTAGTTCTTACTTTTAAGGAAATCATTTGTTTGAAATTCTGAAAATTTCAATACTTTTAATATAGTCATACTCTTAAAAAAAGCAATGTTTTTTCGGAAAATTTCAGATTTACATTAAAAAAAATTTTAAAAAAAAGAAAACACGCGTACAAGAGAGGAGGATCATTAGAACATGAGGTTGCTAAAAACAGGGGAAATTTTTCTGTTTTTTTTTTCAGGCGTAAATTAGCACATATAAAACTTGCAAAATAACACCTTTAAAATAATAGGTGTTCTGTTATTTTAAAGGTGTTAGTTTTTAAGTACCTCCGAAAATTTTGTTGCATCGGCAACACTTTACATGTGCATCCTTAGCAACAATTTTACCTTGGCCCCTATTGGGCTCAAAATGGGCACATTATGGGTCCTACATGAACATGCACCAAGGGACTAATATTGAGATGTCTAGAGATTTTAATATTGGTCCTATATAGGGCCAATATCGGCCTATATAAGACTAATATATAGTCTATAGTGGCTGAATAACGAACATATTATGAAATATCGGGTAAATCTGATAATTCTTTGTATGGCCAATACCAGTAAATTACTGCCCTTTGAACCCTTATTGAACCTAAATTAGTTAATATTGGTTCGATGAGGGCAATAGTTATTTTGCAGCTAAAGATGTTACACTTTAATGATCATGAAAACACACTTAATTCCTAAACTGCAAATTAAGATTCAATGTTTATATGGTAGAAAAGTGAATCAATAGTTTGTCTCTCAATTATATAGATTGAGTGATTGGAATTGTTTTTTAAAACGTTTTATATGCTTGTTTAATATTCTTATAATAATTTTTGATTTGCCTTTTTTTAATTAACAAATAATGTCATAAAGAAGACTATCCATCTTTTCAACAATGACACCAACTCCAACTATGTAACCCATACCTGCGTGGCTAATTTGAGATTTCCAATTTTCAGCTTTCATTGATAATATTCTCATTTATTTACTAACACATAGGTTATCAAAGTATTTATTAAGTAAATACATGTTTTCTTTTTCAAAGTATTTAACTGGTTTATAACTTTTCCACATATTTCTTTTAATTCGTTTAATTTTGTGTTGAAAGTGAAAGAAAAAGTAATGCTTTGATGCAGCTAAATTTTATTTTAAATTCAAAATATTAATTACTTATGAAAAAAAAATATTTTTCGTAGCTATTCTAAAATATTTTAATAAATCTTCCGCTCATTTGTCATTGAATTTGTCAAACAGATTGGACAAATTTTGAGTTAATTACAAAATAATATTTTTTCTAGAAAAGAAATATTAAAAAACACTTCTGATGTAGTAAACTTTCATTTCGCACACCTTTTTGTTTTACATAAGATAATTTACTCAAAATTGTATTTCTTAATAAAAATTGCTTCATTTTTCTTGCTTTTTATTTGTGAAAAAGGATTAAATACTTAATTATATAAATTATCCTCACTAATGCTATATAGCTAGTGTGTATCAAAGCAGTTTTTTAAAGGATTCTATAAAAGGTATACACCCAAAATCTTCTTTTTCTTTAATGGCCTTCTCAAAATTCGCTCATCTCTCTATTAGCAACTTAAAAAAATTAAAGCAGTATATTTTTCTGAAAATTTAAACGCGTGCATCGGTCACTAATATTTGCTTTTCGTATCAGTTTCTTTTTCAAAAATAATAAACAGAAAGTTGCTTATTAGAATAATTAATACAATAGACGGACAAAAGATTAAAAAAAGCCAATTTTTAGGAGGTTAAATGCTAAAAATTTACTAACATTTTTACTATTGGATAAAATGAATACCATTTCAAATTATTGTTATATTAGGACTATTCTATAAGAAAATTGCAGGAACAAGTCTTATATTTCGAATAACCCCCATTTAACGAATAAAATTTTATGAGTCGATGAATTTGCTGAACATGAGTTCAAGTTCATGAACCTTTCATTAGTTATTTTTTATGTTATTTTATGATATGTTGAATTTTCAACAGAGTGTGATTGTGGAAATAATTCAAAAAGCTGCGAGATGATGGGTTCTTTCAAACTCTGCACTTGTAATTTTGATTACATGTACAACCCTGGCACAGATCAATGCGAAAGTAAGTAAGAACACAATTTTATGATTTTTAATATACTGTTAGTCTGGTGTTCTGTAATTTTAAAGGTGCAAGTTACGTGCCTCTAAAAAATTTTGGTGAATCATCAACACTTTATATGCACATCCATAGGAACAATTGGCCCCGGTTGGGCTTACAATATGGGTCCTATATACACATGCACCGAAGAACCAATATTGGAATGTATGGATTGTTTAATATCGATCCTATATAGGGCCAATATCGGCCTATATATAGTCTATAGTGGCTGAATAACGATTATATCATAAAATATAAGATGAATTTTATAATTCTATATAAGGCCGATATTGGTTATAAGGTGGTTGTAAAATATTGGGTAAATCGGACAATTCACGGATTATATAGGGCCTTTAACAGAAAATATTGGCCTTCTGAACATTTAATGAGCCAAGATTCGTGAATTTTGGTTTAATGAGGGCCCAAGTTAATTTTCTGCTAGGGATGTTACACTTTTATTTGTATGAAAACATACTTAATTCCTAAACAGTAAATTAAAAACCAATGCTTATATGGGAAAAATTTAAATCATTAGTTTGTTTTTTTCAATTAAATAGATTATGTGGTTAAAATTGCTTTTTAAAAGGGTTAATATGTGCTTATTTAATATTCTTATAATATTTTTTGATTTGAATTTTATTACGGTGGCAATCCATCGCTCCAACAATGACGCCAATTCAACTGTGTAACAACATAGCTGTGAGGCTACTTTGGGAATTACAATAATGAGCTTTCATTGATGATAATCTCATTTACTTACTAACATATAAGTTATCATGGTATTTATTGAGTTAAATACATATTTTTAAGTATTTAACTAGTTTATAACTTTATTCCGCATATTTCTTTTAATTCATTTAATATTGTGTTGATCGTGTTAAGGAAAAATTACTGCTTTAACACAATCAAGTTTTTGTTTAATTCAAAATATTAATTATTTGTGGAATAACACTATTTTTCTCGTAACCTTTTGATTCTTTGTAATATTTCGTAGCTGTTCGTAAAATCTGTTCTTTGAAAATATATTATTACCTCTGATTTCAATTTGTAATTGAATATATTAATACGTCAAACTGTTTGGACAGATTTTGACATAATTGGAAAATAATATTTTTTCTATTAATCAAATGTTAAAAAAGCACTTTTGACACAATAATTTTCATTTTGAACACTTTTCTTTGTTTTACATATGATTATTTACTCAAAACTGTATTTTGTTTAACAAAAATTGTTTCATTTTAATTTTTTTCTGGCTTTTTATCCTTAAAAATGAATTGAATACTTATTTATATGAACACTTTTATCAACACTAATGCCATTGTGGCTAGCAAAGCAGTATCAAAGCAGTTTTTTGAAGGGATAATATAAAAAATATACATAAATTAGAATAGGTCAAATTAAGCATTTATGAAACATTAACGTAGTTTTCCGACTGATCTAATCCGGTCTTAAATATTTCCTAAGATGTATCCGAATTAGGCTATGTATTATTCAAAGTAACGTAATATTATTCAAAATAATGTTATAAAATAATGATAAGTAAATACTATGTCAATGCTATCAGCCTCACCCTTAAGTTTATTTTTGCATTAATCTACATGCTTTTAAATAAACAAAATAAGTCAATCAAGTAAATTGTTTTTAAACAAAATGGCAGTATGGCCAATGACGTAAGAACTCCTTTTTTGTAAGAGCAGACGCAAAAATTGTAATATTTTTTAATACAATTTGTTTTAAATTGGAGAAAAAATTATTTTAGAGCTATGTATACATAGACGTAATATCTAAATTTCGATTACATTTAATTTCGAAAATAATTGCGCTTTGTCCATGATAAGTACACTCGAAAAGACGTTTGTGTTAAGGAGAATATTTCAGTGAAAAACTAATAAAAATACCGAAAAAGAAAAAAAAATAGCAAAAAAAAAATATTAATATCTAAAGTTTAAAATTTTTTAATCGTTTTTTGCTTAAGGGTGAAGAAATTTATAGCTTTTTCTTTTTTCATGAGCAAAAGATACTGCCGCTGTTGCATTTTTGACATTTCCTTTTTCATTTAACTATTTATCTAATGTGCATGTTTTTTTACTTAAAATTTTTGACAGAATGTGATTGTGGACCTAATTCAGATAGTTGCACGATGATAAATTCTCTGAAGTTTTGCACTTGTATTTCTGGATACACGTTCAATCCTCGTAAATTTAATTGTGAAAGTAAGTAAAAACACATTTTGTCAATAAAGTGATTAATAATTACTATTCAATTTTATGGTAATTTTATGTTTGAACTAGGCCAAAATAATAATGATTATAATAATTATTAAAATCAGTGAGATAATTTTGAGAAGTGTCTTAAAAACCATGTTTTTCTCAGAATATTTTTAGCTCTTATAATAAAAAAGACAGATACACTAATTTTTAAATTAGTATGGAATCTCATACGCTATATATATAAAATAGGAGTGTCAAGGTTCCACGATTTTCCCACTCTACACACTTTTCCCCCTCCATTACCAAGATTACTAAAAATCTTGAATTTTCACCTCGACAATACGTTACGGTTAAAAGAGTAAAAAAACTAGTTTTTGAGAATTCTGCGGAGAAAAGTGTAGAGAGTGTTGACATCGCGTTATCTTGAGACGCCTATACTCTTTACAACGATTAATAGCTAAAGAAAACTTCTCCTTCTTTGTCTGCGCAGCAGCCCCTTGCAGGCCCTGGCAGCCTCAATAGCTGACAAACGCCAGCGCCTCCTATCCATGACAACTGCCTTCCAATTTCTAATCCTTGAGTGAGCCACCCTTATACAGGATGCGGAGGCTCCATGTACCAAATCTCAAGTGGTCTGGTTCGCCTGGGTATAACGGAGCTGGATATTGTTGAGGTTTCTAAACTAGCGGTCTTTTACAAGGAGGAGTAATTGGTCAGACGTCCAACCCCCAACCTGAAGGATATAATATAATCCCCAGGGGCAGGGTGTAGGCTCTACTTCAGGACATTGGGTACTAATTTTAGTTGCCTTTCCTAACATGCATCAGCTACATTGGGATTTTTCTTTTATACCCGGTCACCATGCAGAAAAGTATTCAATTAAAAACTAAGTGCGACAAAATCAATCTTCAGGTCGAAGATGCAAGAATCATGGTTTGAAATATTTTATATTAGTGTTTTTTGTAACTTTATTGATGAAAAACTCTGTTATATGAGCCGCGGTGTCTCAGGAGGTAGAGCATTTGCCTCCCAATTAGGTGATCCAGGTTCGAATTCCATCGATGACTGGTTGATACGAATTCTGCTCCCGTCTCGCGTCTACCATAGTGCTAACGTAAAATATTCTCTGTGGTAAGCGGATTATGGGTTTGAATCCTCTTGCCGTCCGGCCCTTGGGAGGTTTGCATGGTCTTCCTCTCCGTATAACGCAAATGCGGAATAATCCCGTCAAAAAGTCCTCCACGAATGCTACTTTGTCCCTTTGCCTGATCCAGAAGTTTCTTTGTCTTCTGGGCTGGGTTCAAAGCTACAAAGCAACGTCAATAAGCGTGAACTAAGAATTGGGTCCGCTGTTCAACACCATTTGTAAAACTCGGCATTTGAATATAAAATTTCCTGACTGAACAGATATTATTTTCTTACTGTAATTTTACAGAAATTTTTTGCTTTGTACTATTGTAATAGTGCTTTATGCAATTAATTAATGTAAAAATAATGGAATTGTTATTATCCTAAGACTAGTAGTATTGTTCCAATAGAAATAAAAGTGTGATTGTTCATGAAACGATTGTTGCCAAATACTTTTTCACATAACATTGCAACTCTCTTTCTCCAATCAGATTTTCTTTCTTTTCAGAACTTCCATGTGATGGACTATCAGCATTAGAATCAGTAATGTATTTCTCTCCAGTTGGTTTCGTCCTTGGTCTAATTAATTATAGATTCCTTATCAAGCTTTTTTGCAAAAGGTATTTTCATTTAAATGAAATTTTTATATATATAAATACCAAACTCTGTTCCATAAATACTTTTAAGGGACTTTTTTAACAAAAAGCATAACATTTCTTAAATTGTAATTTTGAGCGCATTATTTATCTTGAAGAAAAATTGCAGGAAACATTTTTTTTTAACTATTTAGATGCCGTGATAAAAAACGGGATGAAGCTGAAACGAGGGTGAATGAAAACGTCTGATTTCAGGAAGTTTGGCACTAGAGTTGTGGAAGGTAATATATATATATATTTTTGTAAATAAGTGTTTGTTAATTTTAAAAAATTTTCTTAAACTCAATTTCGTGTTTGAGAGATTGGAATCTTAAAATCGGAATTTTGTCCAATGTTCAACTTTCTGGAACAGCTTTTCCCACAACGTATTCAGCGGAATCCCAGGGTTCCGCAGAAGCGTCTCAAGGATTCTTAGATTTAAGACAGTATCTAAATTAGTAATGAGTTTAGAAGCAAATTATATCAATATCTAATTAATAATCCATTAATTATTTAATAATTTAATTATTTTCATGAAATATAAGTAAAATAGAATCTAAAAAATAATTAAACAAATTCTTTTATTATATAAATAAATTACGAAAGAGACATGCATTTATAAAAACTAAAAAAAAATAAAAAAATGGAAATATAAAAAAATAAAAAACATAACTTCCCCTTAAAGTAAAATAATTAAACTAAACAATAAAAAAATATAGTTTCTCTATAACCATTTTAATTTTTTCTTCATTTTCACCTCAACCATAATTTATTTTATTTTATTCAGTCTCAGCTTATCCATATTCCAAAAACAAGTTCAAAATTGTGCAATATGACACTCATATCTCCGAAGTGAACTACCTGACATAAAACCAAATTTTGAAGAAACTATTGGCATGATGATTCATTCTTCTACGCTAAATATTTTCAAATAAATTATATTTTCAAAATCTTTGATTATTAAATTTTTTATATGTTCACTTCAGTGCAGTTCCTTTCAGATTCCATCCGAAATAAGAACGATCCATTCGAATTGTATAGTGGAAAAAATTGGCAACAGCTTTCTAGAAAACTTCACGGAACATGATCCCGTGTACACCAGATCTACGTCATATTATGAAGGCTAAAACCTGTTCTACGCAAGTTCACTAGGGCGAGTAAAAGAGCGGTAGACTACTGTTGATATTGTATTGGCATTACCGGTAACAGATTACAAATGTCCACAAAATGGGGCCCTATTTACGATACTTTACAAAAACTGAATTTTTAATATGCTATTTGAATAACTATTTTAAGATGTTTTTGCAGTAGACGGACAGCCTCAAATGGTTAGGAAAATCGGACCTTACTACGCCATTTTATGAAAGCTCTATTTTATATAAGTGATTTGAGCAACTATTTTAAGGTGTTTTTGAAGCAACCAGTTAGCAAGCGAAACCCCACCTGCCAGACAACCTCAAAAGGTAATGAAATGAGATTGCACTAACGCCATTTTATAAAAGCTGAATTTTATGTATATTACTTCTGTACTTGTTTGTGGTGGCCCTTATAAGTGGTCAGACAGTTTCGACGCTCCTGAAGCAGTGCCGAAAAGTTTCTAACCCGCTGCCGGAGATTTTCAAGTTTTTTAACTTCCTTGACACCTCTGAAGTTCACTAAATTGTTTTTGTACTTTTGTCATCTCATAAAATCTGAATTTTATACGCATTATTTGGGAACTATTTTAAGATTTTTTCCAAGTAGAAAGACAGTTCTTAAGGTTTCTAACATCTTTCTAGACATTATCGAAGGTCAGCAGAACTTTCGAGTGCTCAACGATATATATGCGAGTACTTGGGAGATAGTCAGGTTTTCTGCGGTGTTTCTTCGTCATATCTCCGTACCGTTCCCCACAACAGTTATGTTGTTGCTGTTACTTATGCCACATACCAATACCAGCGAGCCTGCCTGGGAAATCAAGCGAATTTTCAATTCAAAGGCAGAATTTCCTGCTTTTTCCTGTGGCGCCATCTATGGCCAAGAATACGATTTCAGCCACACACACGGCACAACCTGTTTTACAGAGAGGACCCAATTATACTCCATTCATTCACTTACGGAGTTTTTAATTTAAGTTCATCATATTAAAGTAGTTATACCGCTTATGTGAATCCTTATTCCGTTGTTAGATGGCAGCATTAGTAACACAAAGAAAAACTTTAACAATTAAATTTTTGACATAATTTATCTTTTAAAAGAAATTTTAAAAAACAATCAAATTAGAATAGAATTAAAAAGTTAGGTTCAATTACAATCGCACAAAATCTAAATTTAGTGATCTGAAAAATTAATTCACATAGACATAAACAAAATTCTAATAAGCTGGTTAAAACTTATACTAAAAATAATTTATCTAATTTAAAAATTAAAGAAAAGAAGAAGATAAAAAAAGAAAATTCATTTCTTAGAAAAATTAGAAAAAAATATATATATGCATCTGTTAAGTGGGTCTAAAGTGTTTTTCTTAAAAAAAATTTCCATCTTCTTTTAAAAATAATTATATGTTGTGACCTGTTTCGTTCTGAGCAATTTGACATCAACTGTAAGATAAGACCAAAAAAAAAAAAGAAAATGCTAAAGTTATAGCAAAAATATTGGAACCAACTCTCAGAAAACAAACAGTAACACACACAGCATTTCTAAACTGGAATCATCTTCGAACTCGAGTATTTTTATTAAAATTATTTACTCAAAGTTTTGCTTCAAAATCCATTTTTCTCCATTCAATTTTTTTTTTACCCTGTTCGCAAAATATCTGAACTTTCAATAAACCTATTTAAGTTAAAACCTGGTAATTGGTTTGAATATAAGATGATGCTTTAGTTCATCCGGGAACTTAAATGTCTGTAAATATTTCATACGTGTTCTTTTCAAAATAAAAATTCTACAGAAATGCAATAAATTAGGTACCTTTTTAAATTTAAATAATTTTTATTTTTCAATATGTTTTGGCTATTATAGTTTTAAAAAGAACGCAATAATTTTTATTATTCAATATTTTTTAAGCTAGTATGGTTTTAAAAAGAGCACAGCTTTTACAATTATTTATATTATTTATATTATTTTTCATGGATTTTATCGTGTGCTCAGGACGTCATAGTATCTTTTTTCCCCTTCGAATTTCAGCTCTAAAGAAAACTAAATTATAAACGTTGTTTGCGTACCCTTATTGCTGCATACCGAACAACACCTGCAACACCAGCCCAAAAAAGTGTTTACATTACAAAAATGTTACAAAAAAGTGTTTGCTTTAAATAATTTCTGCACTTGTGTTCCTGTAAGTCCTTAATAGTCCTAAGTAAGTCCTTCATAGGCCTAAATTAATCTCAATCTATTTTTCAATCTAAAACTCAAGTATTTTTTAGTAAATCGGAAAAAAATGTACATTGATGCTTTCTCTACGAATCCAAAACCACCTAGACCCTTTTACGCTGAACTAGGGAACGTTATTTCTGTGTTCTTTTAATAACTTATATGTATGATATAATTTGTAGCTAATGCAGTTGTATGTAATGTAGTTATACAGGGTGCTCCATTAAGATCACCCTTTATGGACATTTTTAGAATATTTTTCTCAAATGAAAAGAAGGAAATATACTTACGGGGGACCCAAATTAATATTTAGTCGATGAAAAAAACAAAATTGTCATTGAAATCTGACAAATTACAATCCAGAAAAGTGAGTGTAATAAACATCAAACAAAGTTTAATTGGAGGTTGAAACCTGAGGATGTTTCTGACAATCGTCTTTCAACTCCTCTCTACATCAATCCAATTCTTGTTATTTATTAGGCGAATCTTTAAGTACTGTGACTTGTCAGATTTCTGATTTCGTTCAATTTTTTTTGTGATTCCTATTGTGCATACTTTAATGCTTTCATTTTTTATATGGATTTTAGAAGTGAACAATAAGGAAGATCTTTAGGGAACACCCTCAATGTAAACAAGCAAGGGTAAAAACTATGGGTCAGAACAGCCTGAGTTTTTTCCAAACAGTCTTAACTTTAAATTTTCCTTAAACCATGTAAATAAATATTTTACATGGAATTATTGTAATATAAAACATATTTTGTTTTCCTATAGGTGTTTCTTTCGGGATTAGATTTATAATTTTATCTACTTCAGAAAGCAGCTCAAATGGAATAAAAGATCCATGGAATTTTTGAACTATTTGAAACACGACATTGGAATTATAAGTTATTTTTAAAAAATTGAAAAAGAAGATTAAGTTCAGGAAATTTTTGAAAATTGTGAAACACATTGAATGCAGAATTTGTTTGAAAATTATTTGTAAAAGAAGATTACTTTCAAAAACCTTTCAGCATTAAAGAACAGCAAGGGGCTATCCCACTTCACAGCTTTCTGTTTCGTGCCGACCCTTACTAATTGCTATGCAATGATTTATTGTTTGTTTCACAAACAGACTTGTATATAATTCTGGCTGTTTTAAAATCTTGAGGATAACAACTTCTGAATAAAATCCTTGTGGCTCTGTCTGAAAATTCTGTTGATTATCTTTAGCATCTACCAGAAAATATTAAATTTATTATATTTTTATTTATTATATTTTTTATTTATTAAATTTTTATTCATTACATTTTTTATTTATTATATTTTTTATTTATTTTATATTAAAAATATGCAATCTAAAGAAAAAGAACCCCATACAAATCGTATGGAAATTAAAACGTTGTCGAATTGGCTGAAAATTGGGTACTTGCCTTTCAAGAAGAAAAAGAATATCACGAACACCCACACAGGTGAACTATGATGTCAGCAAGAGCTGATTGTTGAAAAACAAAATGACGTGTTAAAGCTGAACTAAGCTTGTCAACAGAAAATAGAATGTTAATTAATGTAAAGTTAATTAAATACAAATCTGTATCGCTCATCGAATTCGTAGAAATATAATTCTTTCTCGTCTACCCCTTTTTCTTAACTTATATTTATTATTTGTTTTTGTATTTTATTGTAGACATGGTATATTTTTGTTTTGTGTACCTGGCAACTTCAATGCATAATTAGTTTGTTTATGTTCAATATAGCTTTGTACCTGTCTTTGTGTTAAGTAAGAAATATATAGTGAAAGAATTGAAATTAGTATTGAATGTACCACTTGCTAGAATTGATACTTGACGGGTTTGGTTTATTCAAAATATAATGTAAAGCACAGTTGCTAACGTAAATAAATGCTATGTTTC